GTAACCACGTGACCTGAAACTCCCTGAGGAGTTTCACAAGGTCATGCCGTTCATAAACTCTATGATTAAGCGGGGGGGGGGGGGGGGGCGTTTTACGACGACATGGGCCGAGTTCACTCCCTACCAGGGAGTAAATAATTGGAGCAGGGGAGTTTCGTCGGCTTATGTGCCGGAGAAACTCCCATCTCGGCTAACTTTTGCTTACAGGCCCCAAGTAATAATATTTTGTGATGCCGTTGTAAGTGATTAAATTATTTTTATAGCCCCCGGGATGGTAGGGGTCGTCGGATCAGGTCTGACCGGCACGGCAACCGAGTCCTCGCACCAGGTCATTCGTCACCTCATTGAGGTTGACCCGAGTTTCGTCCACTTGTCCCATATGCGCAGGAAACCATCGAATTTCAGTATCGATGGGATTGACTTTGTTCAAAAGTTTAACCACAGTCCCCGCGACATAGCCTTTGTCGAAGCTCGTAATTGCTGCTCTGAAGTCGCTATAGACGTATGACCATTTTCCGTTCCTGATAACTAAAGCAATTGCGGCTTGTTCCGCAACCGTGGAATCCTTAGTGAGTATTGTCAGGGCGTCCCGCACCTCTCCCTGGCTGTCGACCACCACAGCCGTGTAGGCCTCTTTGCCTTTCACCCAGGCTGCGTCCACGACGGCCGCCTGTAGTCCTACCTGTGCGATTTCTTTCATTAAAGCTTTCGCTCTCGCTTTTCGCTTGCTGACATTGTGTTCCGGGTGCAGGTTTCTCGGCAGGGGAGTGGTTCTAATCACGTCTCTAAGCTTCGCGTTCAGTTCTACTTCGAGCTCCTTCGGGTTCTTTGATCTATTGGAGACTGACCCACCATCGAATATTTTGCTTCGAAATAAACTGAATAGGCTTAGTGAATCGATTATATACCGCGGCCCGGCAACGGCGGCGCTGAAGCTGCCGGCGACGTTACCTAAAACACGGCGATGTTGTTTTACGTATAAGGTTTGAACGCTGCGCGTGTAATTACGGCTACACCGCACTACTACGTCAGCACGTGAACCGATTCATTGGTGCCTATATAACCCAGTGATTTTTCTATCCCCGCCGTGGCGTGATGTTGTGCAGTTGTAATTAACGTAGGCGTTTGCTGATTTATTGTTCGCGAGATCAGATCGCCATGTGTTTATTGTGAATTTTCTGTGGTTTATTTCTGATTTTATTATGTGCGCATATGTTACGTATGTTAATAAGCATAACCCTAAGCCTCCAAAACCCCGGTTGTAGCCCTAAAATAGTTTCAAAATTTTTTTTTTGCCGCTACACTATACCTATAGGTCAAGTAGTAGCTGAGACGAACCGTACGTGGAAGACTTCTATAGTCGGCCATTTGGCTAGCCGGTACGCGAGACGAAAAACTTCCGGCCTATTACAGTTCCGCCTATGAGATGGGCCGCTGAGCAGAAATGCCACCTACAAGTTTGATTGATTGATTGATTTGTGGGGTTTAACATCCCAAAACCACCATTTGATTATGAGAGACACCGTGGTGGAAGGGCTCCGGAAATTTCGACCACCTGGGGTTCTTTAACGTGCACCCAAATCGGAGTACATGGGCCTACAACATTTCCGCCTCCATCGGAAATGCAGCCGCCACAGCCGGGATTTGATCCCGCGACCTGCGGGTCAGCAGCCGAGTACCTTAGCCACTAGACCACCGTGACGGGGCCACCTACAAGTTTTGCTGGTTAAACGAACCTTGTATAGGCGTTAGATTTTTCGTTTCGCTTACAAGTTATAGGCTGATACTTTAAGCAGGACTTGATTAAGAGCGTAGTCGAAGTCACGACAAAGCATACATTTCTGTGTACTTTGTTCTATCTGTCGTACCTATTCTAGGAAGCCACACTCAAATCAAATCAAATCCAACTACATCAAAGTTTATTTTCCGTTCTGTAGTACAGAAAGAAAGGACTGTGAAAAAAAAAAGCCGTGTTTTGAAAAAGACTTACTGGTTCATAGCCCTCTATAGTTCACTCATTCACAGAGAACTGAATTATATGGCGGCGATGCTGCTGGCACGATGTCTTAAAATTCTGTATTCACTTCTGAAACGAGAAAAAGCATTTCGCTTCTGTTATTTACATAATGAAAGTAATTGCTTTTCACAATAGGATTGATTGATCGATATGTGAGGTTTAACGTCCCAAAACCACCATATGATTATGAGAGGTGCCTTATTGGAGGCTCTGAAACTTTCGACCACCTGGGGTTCTTTAACGTGCACCCCAATCTGAGCACACGGGCCTACAGAATTTTCGCCTCCATCGATAAATGCAGCCGCCGCAGCCAGGATTCGATCCCGCCACCCACGGGTCAGCAGCCGAGTACGTTCCACTATAAACCACCGCAGCGGGGCATTTGAAGATTGGCAATAAACCATTGCCATGCTAAATTTTTTTTTTACTTTTTTGCAAAATTTTAGGGGGACTGCGAAATAAAACAAATTTTTTCATAATTGATTAAAATATCTCGGAATTTTTCACGTCTATAGTCGGGTGCTTTAGTTGGTAACTGCTAGAGCACGCACTATATATTATTCAGAGCTTTCTTATGTGTCAAGGGGTTTCTTAACAGCTGACGGTAACTGTGCCCGTATGAGTCATGGAGATGAGTAAACCAAACGTTTACTTATTTCAGTTCCATGCATTGCATATAGTCACTCCTTTCGAAGAACATTACCCAACAGAACCGTCCTGACCTGGTGAGTCAGTTCGACTGAACAAAAATGTAACTCAAACTAAATTTGTGAGGTGCCTCTTTATAGCAGCGGGAATATTGAGCTTTTGCTCTTGACTCGTCTCAACATTTGACAGAGATCGCACATATTTGTTGCCTGACCAACTGAAATTCGCGTGCATCCAAATAATCAAAATCGAAGGGTTGCGTCCATCATTTGAAACTATTTATCAATTTTTGCGCCAGGCGAGAATTTATAACCCCCAAATATACATTGGCAGTAGAAAATTCAGTCTCACCTCAATCAATTTGTGCAATAACCTTTCTTTTTCTCAAAATAAATTATCATTACTTATATTCATTTCCTGTGAAGCGGTTTTAATAGGATGGTAGAAGACTACCAGAGGGAACTTAAAAAGCGCTAACAACGAAAGACCAAACACGTGCAACAAGACTGGTACTTTACTTGCAACTAACGTTTATTTGAAACCGGGTAAAAAACGTTTCTGAAAAACACCAATGTTCTAAAAAAAAGGGCAGATTAAGGACGAAGTTGTCGAAGCACACCTGATAAAGGAAACAAGTGCTGCTAACTCGAAGGTTGCGGGTCGAACCTCAGCTGCGGCGGTTGCATTTTCGATGGGTGCAACAATGGCTGAGGCCCGTGTACTCAGATTTAGGTGCACATGAATGAACACCAGGTCATCAAAATTTCCGGAGCCCTACATTATACAGTGTCTCTCATACTCATATCGTGGTTTTGATATGTTAGACCACAAATATTAGTAGTATTATAATACTAAATATGATTATTAAGCAAGCAAGTAACATCATCGTTGTCATTGAAAGAAAATGAAGTATACCTTTCCTTTCCGCACATTTGTGTACACGATGAATTGTCTTTCAAACGTCATATGTTGAAATACAGACCCACGCAATTCCTTGTGGGATGATGCGCGCAACTGCAAGCTTTCTGTGCGGGCATAATATTGTATTGTACATTTAAAGTAAAGGCTAGTTAGAGGTGTTGCATCAGTCTTATTGTATATATGTGTTTCGTCTCTCGTCATTTTAGCTTTTCAAGTTTCCTGTAATAATATCAACTCGCCCAAATAATGGTTCTGTTCCAAACAACCAACGTATGCCCGGTATTTTATTCTCGCATCATACGTTCCATTCATCCACACGTTTATTCTATGTTTTACCAACAGCGCACCCATAAAATGTAATTCTCACGTTGGCTGTGCCATCTCAAATTTAAAAAAAAAAATATCTGAACTTTCAGGCATACACAGACAGTACACCATGTTTTTTGACTAACTCAGTAAAAACATTTAGCTCTACATGTTACCTGTACATGTTCCCTAGAGGAAAGAGTCCAGTCTACCAGAAACGTCAGAACAAAGAAAATTACAAAACAGTGGTATTTCTTTTCTGACTGACACTTTTCAAGTCTGTCTAAAACTTTTGAAGCATATCATCACTCGTCACCCCGTATTCTGCTGTTTTTTTTTTTTTGCACACTACAAAAGGTCTGGCTTTCTTTCCAGTTTATCCGAAAACTATCTGTACATCGTTTTTTTTTCATTTTGATAATTTTCTATGTTTTCGAGATTGCCAGTAGCTTTATATTTTCGCTCCGGCGCAAATGCATGCGCTCATTTTTTATATATGGTTTTTACAAGGTGTGTACACGAACATGTTTCGCTTTCTTGTAAGGTCAGTTGCATATTTTGTGGGGGTGTGAGCATGTGTGCGGGTGTGAAGAATGCATATGAAGTGTAAAAGCATCGCAGCCGCCTTTTTTTTACTTTTTGTAGGTATTGTGCGTGAGGTGCAGTGCACCTTACAATGAAATTTTGTTTCAGTTTGTTATGGTACTCTTTAAATGCCACTACTCCGGAGACATTCACAGCTTCCTGCGAACGCATTGTTCTCTTTTTCGCTAGCAACACTTAGCGCTGCCACTGTAAAGCTTACTTCTCCGGAAAGCTGGGTATCCCTGCCCTGCCGAGCTCACCTCCCTCAAGCGTCGGGCGCCCGGAGCTTTGTCCGCCGGAGAAACGGAGAAGATGAACGCCTCAGCATCTTCCGCCACCGTATTCCTGCTCCTACTCCAGCTCCTCTCTCTCCTTTCCCGCCAAAGAAGGAGCCTCCATTGGTCAGCTTTTATTGTGACGTCAGAGCATCTATGTCAATCCCCGCCTTCGCTCGCTCCGCCCTCTCCCCTCTAGCTCCCACCGAATCGCGCTGCTGCGTTCGCGGAGGCGTTTCGCTCGTGAACCGGCCGAACGGGCTCGCGGCAGTCAACAAAACCTGGCCGTTTGCCGGTGGCGTGCGAATGGCGAGAGCTCGCCTTTAGCGAAGGGGGCAACGGGGCAGTTCGGTCGTAGCTTGCGAATATTTCGCTCTGAACGTCGGATTTGTGACCAAGTGTGTGTCGGTGTGTAGTGTCCTGGACAGCGACAAAGTGCTCCCTGAATCGCCTAAAATGCTATGGTGTTGTCAAACATGGTGAAAGATCACTGATTCAGCATTCTACCTCTCTCCATACTCGCGTCTCGTATCGTGCAAAACTTTGAAGCTCGCGTGCGACTTTTGTGTGGCGCCTGCACTGCTACAGGTGACAGCGCTGCAAACAAAACAGTCGTCGCTTAGCTTCAGTTTCCTGAAGAGCAAAGGTCATATGCGGTAAGCTCAGCCTCAGTTTCCGACTTGGACCGCAGCCAAGAACTCCAACCACGTTCTTCAGTGACCAATTTTCCAGCGTTATCCGGAACTGTCGAACGCACGTCGGATGCTATTCAGAAGAACTGTACGTCCGTTCCATCAGCGAGAGGAAGAAGTGACAGTCGGCGCTCTTTAGGGCGTACACTTGACGGAGTGCCAACGGTGCTCCACGGCCGCAGAAAAAGCGCGGGAGGCTGACGGTCGCTGTACCCTTGGCGGTCTGCACGAGGGCCCACGGGTCCCAGCAGCGTGGGTTGGTGGGAGTCTGATGCGACGGCGGCGGCGGCGGCCAGGATGAGCTGCACCGAGGTCATGTACCAGCCTTACTCGCCCTATTTTCCCTACCACCAGCGCGCGGCCGCCGCCGCCTCATGCCCCGGCGCTGGAGCGGCGTCGGGCATCGCGGCCGCCCAGGCCGCGTGCCTCGACTACAAGGTGAGGGCACGACTCTCCGTTGCACTTGCAGATTTTCCAATAATTGTTAGACGAGCTGCTTGTCATTGTGATATTACGATAGCCGTAATCGTGGCCAGAAATCTGCGTGTAAGTTTTCTGCTGCTGCGGAGATACGTTCGTTGAACACTGCGCAGTAGGCATGATCGAACTCTGCAAAGGTCTGTTAGTTTATATGTCGCAAAAGGTCTTATTCATTTTCTTCTTCTTTTTCTTAAACTTAGCACTTCGCAGAAATCAGATAATCTACACCGAGAACAATGCAAGGACGCGATGATGGGCTGGTCTCCCTTGCACTGTATAGGAGGAGGATTGAAGGAGCTATATAGGACGCTAGCCCATCTACAACGCTTGGCGCCTTGTGTGCGTATCAGGCCTACACGGTGCCGCAGCTATCTTTAGCCAGAGTTTTAAAAGATACCGGCACACGCAATGACGACCCGACGAAATGCATGTTGGTGCACGTTGCCTGGAGGGAGTCAGATAATCTATTGTGTTATGATTAATTGTTTAATTAGGCCCCTTTAATTAACTTGCTTTTGAAGAAATGAAGCTGGGTTAAATATTCCAATGAGAAAACTTTAGATCGGGTTGCAAAACGTCTGACTCGACCGTTTTAAACTTTACATAATTATAAGTGCATTTCTGTTAACTACATATGGCCGCCAAGTATACACAAAAGTGACAAATCCCATGGCGCGCATACGCGATACGTGATTCTGGTGCTCCCTAACGTTCCGCGTACGCATCTCTCGCACCGGTTCATGACAGCGATAGGCAGTCACCGCGCTCAACGCTTTTGTGGCCGACAGCAAAACGTGTTCATCGCAAAGCCACCGCCATCGTCTCGGGCCTGTCCAGACAGCACAATCGGGCGAATGCTATGTGGTCATTCGTATGCGGGCAACGTTTCGGAGCACTACACTCATCGTGCGCACTGGCGCACGAGCGGGCTTCTCGCTTGGTGTCTTTTTTACTTGATGGTATCTTTTTGCATTTGCTGTACGCCTGGTATCTTTTTGCATTTGAAGTCAGCAAAAAAAAAAAAAACCAACAGTTAAGAGGTATAAAGCTCGAAACGTCTAATTGGACGTTTTGCAAACCTTTGAACAACTTTCTCATTTGGATTTTAGTTGCTAAAAGTAAGCTTAAAAAGTGCCTTAAACAAGCAATTAATTGAGCACACGAGAAAATAGTCTGACTCAAATAGGCAACAGTCAGCAACGTGCATTTGATAACATCATTATTGCGTGTGTCAGCATTTTTCAAACCTCTGGCTAAAATTAGAAGGGACACACTGTCTGCGTATGCATTGTCGCATATATTAAGGTGTCTGCCTTCACAACAAACGCACGGTTATTGTTCGTGAGAGAAATGTTGATCTTTTCGGCTGTAACAAATCTGCTCTGCCACTGGAATGGAGCGATTCGTAATCAAAATCTGCGCGGCTTCCCTCTCAATATATATTGCGTCTCTCATAATCATATAGTGGTTTCGGGACGTTCATCCACACATATCAATCAATCTCTCAATATATATAGTAATACTGTTCGTGTCGTCCGACGTACTTTAACAGATCTCTAGGAGCGTAAATAACTAACTTGAGCGTCTATTTAACAAATTTGAATTTGTTCCACACGTACAAGACAGTAAACGGCCGTGTATATTCGTGTTATTACGTGATCACTCGAAAATGATGGTAACCACAGTAAAATGACAATTGCTTTAGTGTTTGAAATGTGTGCGGATCCTTTGCCAACCTATGGAAAAGCCAAGGATGCCGACCGTCACGAACACATCAAACTAAACGCGAGACTATGTGCTCGACAGTTTTGTGACTGAGAGTTATAGGCTATAAATTGTTTTATAGTCTATTGACTATAAAGCCGAAGTGAAAATCAAACCCACAACATCAAGGTCGTTATCTCCACGAATTGGGATACCCCAGTGACCACGCGACAGCACGATACTGCCAGATACCTAATACGATTTGGAGATAAGAATATACCTATTTCTTATCGGGCTGTCGTCACACAGGATGAGTGTAATATTGTATGATTACTGCGGTCACATTTTCACATGTAACTGAATAATACGACGTTAGAAGCTGACTTTCACTCTTTTTTTTTTAAATGAGGGAGGGGGAGCTTACTCATCAAGTACTTGCTGAAAACAATGTGACCTCTCTATGGCAAGTTGGACGATTCAAATAAGCAACTTTATATCCAAGAATTTCAGAAACTGAATGCATCCAGCAAATTATAGGCACAATGGCCGCGAATGCGAGACATGCTTCCTCACGATGCGTGCGTCGTTCAAGGAACATACACTACAATATTCCCGTCTTCCTGAACAGAGCAGTTTTTCCGCTTCATGATACGCGGTGAAGTCTTAACTATATCGCAGTTATTTCAGCCCCGTTAGATATAGAGCAGTCAATCGAGTTATTACAGCAATCGTAGTATTTAGAAGACGCTCAAGGTTTGAATTCCAGGCTCTTATATGTGGAACATAGTTCTCTCTTGATATTTTAAGGCGAAGTAATGAAGCTTCATTCTGGAACGTGTTAAATAGTGTCCATCAATGCTATGCTGATTGTATAGAATTTTGAATAACACAGCGTACAACGTGTACGAACACTATACGTGTTTTAAAATACTACATATTAGAGCATACACTATATTTATGAGAAGCATTGGCCTTACTGTGCAATCTACTATAGGTACGTATAATGCCCTGAACGCGTTATGTCTCCTTTTTTATTTTACTGTATATGTGGCTCTAAATGGAGGACATTGTTCGTACCTCCCATTTTTAATGCTTCTGATGAAGTATCACTCTTTGGTTTTGTAATGCAACTTTACTTTAGTAAGACAAGACGAGTATAAACATGGTTTGACACTCACTATACGTGAACGATTTGTCGGAAGCGATATAGTTATTATGCTCCGCAAAAAAAAAAGAACAATTACTAAATCCTGCTCATCTATTTCGGACTAAGTGGTGATTAGCGCAGTGCAATGAACATATGACTGCACGGAATTTTCAGGAAAGGATGGTCGTGAGGGATTTTTGTGACTGAAATGTCCACGCTTTATTATATTATTATTCTGCAGATCATATACCCCAAAAAGGGGGCAACATGATGGAAGTGCGCCGACTACAGGCCATACCAGGATAAGCTATTATTTTACGGAAAGTTTTACCAGCAGCGTAGTTTTTGATAACACCCGGAACGAAATTTGTTTATGAGTAACGATCAACGACGATATCTTTTTTTCATGAATCCACACGTATTAAATTTTAGGTCACAATGATATACCTTTATATGAAGACTTTCAGGCATTTGCATGCAAGGAGGCGTCTTCTCCCATTGACGTTCACTTGCTTCTGCACGCATGACTATTTTATATAGGGCGCCGCAATAGATAGACTAAATTTGCTAGTGATCTTGTGCGGCTTGTGCGGATGAGAACGCCTGGGTTTTGTGAGCACTTGAACTGCTCTTTAGCGTGAACAAATATGTACATGTATTACCAAGTATACGTGAGGGTTCAGTCATCTGTTTATCTGTATACTTTTCTGATTGTTGACATCTCTCAGTGTACAGGTATCACGAATGAAGAAATAATTAGCCATCAGCGTCACACACACTTAAGCACGAATACCTCCTTGAATATATTTACGTTAAAAACAGTGTACAAAGCTCTGCAGTAGTGTAGTCGTCGTGGTGCTCGAGTCCTGAACCGAAGGTCCCATGATGGCATCTCGGCCGTGACTGCCGCATCGCGTTGTATAGGAAAGACGCTTGACTCGTGTTCTTACTTTAGGGTGCATGATGAAAGAACTTCATGTAGACGAACTTTCCAGAACTCCAGAATATGGTGTCCGTCGTTATTATATCGCAATATTTGTCTTCAAACACTAACAGTTAATATTAGAGGGGCACATTTACAGTTAAACATGTGAATCCGTAACGTATTTCAGCTAAGCACATGCAGAGATGCAGACATCAAATGATAGTAAGTATAGAAGACCACACCCATGTACAAAGATTTAAAGAAGGACTGACAAGACAATCAAACATTTCCGCTTGTTCCAAATAACCGCATGCATGTGCGGACAGCTCCGGACACATTTTCGTAGTGCCTGGGAAGGCAGTTGATATACTTTTAATACTGCTACCCTAGAAAAGAACTTTCAGTTTCGTTATAGAAAGGGTGGCTTCACAGTTACGTCTAAACAGAAGTCCGACGTTACGGGAAGGCTGCAACTCATACTAGTACCAGATCTATCATTCATTGTCAGTGGCACGTGGTTCCCATAAAAGGTGATGAGGGAAACTTACCTCTTCTAGTGAGTCCGGCAACGCTTTCTGTGTTTTAGGCTGCGTGGAGGGCGCATATCTAAAACACTGTGAACTGTGTTGACTCGTCGTCATAATGTTCGCTTTGGTAAGGCTGGCTTGGCGATTCTGGCTAACAAAAACTTTAAAATCTAGGCGAAATATTTTATACGTGTTGTCTGCCTCCTGTATGTGGACAAGGTTGATAGCGCACCCCATGAAGACGACAAATGTTCCTTTCGGGAGTCCACGTCATAGAAACAAAAAAAAAAAGTCCCTTTTGGGACGCCCGAAAGTCATGTCAGTGCTTCTTTAACTGGACTTGTTAATTACAATTAGGCGCTTCAAATCAATCAGCCGTGCCACACTACTTCGAAGTTTTATCAGTATTATTTAACAACATTCAGTGACATGAGCTGCTGTCTTGAATGTATGCACTGCACTGCAGATTCTCTGCCTTATAGCGTCCATCGTTGACGGTGGGGAGATACTTGCAAGTTTTTTCAGCGCGCGAACATAGGAAAAAGGGACAGGGTAGACAGAAAGAGCTACAGAAAGAGCGCAGAAAGAACACCAAAACAATGTGCACAATGTGGTACAAGAGTACCCTGGCAATCATTCCTAAGATTGTGGGTGC